GTGTGTGTGTGTGTGTGTGTGTGTGTGTGTGTGTGTGTGTGTGTGTGTGTGACTGCCCTTTGTTTGCAGATTAATTATTCCAATATCTGAGATTACGGCAATGACTGAGCAGGTGTGTGTGTGGGTGTGTAATTGTTTTTGTTACCTATTTAGGACCATTTTTGGTATACACACCTACCTTGTTAAGACCAGTAGTCCTAATGGGGACCAAAGACCAGTCCGAATGTGGTGGAACTCCATTTTTGGGTTGGGGGTTCAGTTTAGGACTAAGCTGTGTATTGAGTTCAGGTTAGATTTAGGGTAAAGGCTTAGACTGGTAAATGAATGGAAGTCAATATGAAGTCCCCATGAGGATAGAAGAACAAATGTGTGTGTGAGCCTGTGTGTGTGGACAAAACCAAATCTGGAAAGCGGGTGTATTTTAAGGGGATTAGTAACAGCTTTAGTGTGGTGTTAAGAGACTTACCATTACCTGGCTAAACCTGGTTTTTTTATTTCCATTAACAGTGATGACAACATGCCATAACTCTTAATTTACTATAATCACTCATCTGTTATACATGAATATCATAAATATCAAACAGACAGGAAGTAAAATGTGACTTTTTTATTCTTGCTGCTCTCATATTTCACAGACTGAGATCGATTTAAAGACTGAAATGAATTTTTAGGTCAAACAGATCAGAGATGAAAACAGCAACGAGACATGAAGCTGCACTATTCCTCTCCTCTCTCCTCTCCTCACCCCTTTTTCAGATAAATTGGGGGGTCGGTGGGGTGAGGGGGGGGGGTGCACTGATTGGTGGCCTGATGGATAGAGCTTCATCAGAGCTAAACAACAAAAGAAATCTGAAGCTTCTATGTTGAACAGTTTCTGAGTCATAAGCATTTTTACATGTTCAGACACCCCCACTTTGAAAGCAGCTCCCTCCTCAAATATGGGGTCTATCGTAAAACCGTTGGCTGGCGCAGTGTAGGTCAGACTCATCTACAGTCCTGCCAAATTTCATGTTGATCGGTGCAGCCTTTCTGTGCTACGGTTGACCAAAAATCACTGAAATTAAAGTCCTACATTCTTCTCAGGTCAAGAGTCAGTGACCTCTTTTGCTTATCTTAAAATGTCATCATGTTTTATCATTTGACTCTTTATCTACTGTATAAAAGCGTGTATTTGAAACTGCCTCAGGGCACACACTGTATTTTGTACCACTGCCCTGTGTGACATGATGTGTGTCTTGCAATTACAATATGTCCTGTTGACCATTTCACGGAGTACTTTTTATTCTTAGATCTCGTGTTTCTGTCTAGGCAAAATAAGGATTTCAACAACAATGGTTTTAGACTAAACCTTGTAGAATGAAACAAATTCATACAAAAACGTCAAACTGTGCACAGAAATATAAAAGATAATACCATTAAAGCACAATTTAGACAGTTTACCTGAAAAACAATGTTGGTTTAGGTTGTAGTTACACTTTAAAGTGGTTTGAGCTTCTGGTAAGGACGCCTCCCAAATGAGGTGTTCTGGACATGTCCAACTGGGAGCAGACCCCAGAGAAGACCCAGAACATGCTGGAGAGACAATCTCTCAGCTTGAGAATGACTTGAGAATGAGAGCTAGGTGGCTGTGTGGGGGTCAGGACCTCCTTGTTCAAGCTGCTGCCTCCACGACCTGACTCTGGAGCAACAGCAGATAATAGATAGATTGATATAAAATAGAAAATAATGGAAGAGGTTTGGGTGTCTGGTTATGATGAAGTGATTATATTTTATGCCTGTTAAAAGACCCTATCAGTTGTAAAGAAGGAAACCTCACAGATGGTAGATTTAAAGAACAGAACAGACTTCAATGAGAGCTGACATGACAGATCACACTTAGCAGTGGTGAATTCTTCAAGACAGACAATGTTTCACATCTAGATTTATTATAAGTTTCATCAGGTTTCACTAGTTGGTCTTGCCAGGACMGAATTCTCAAAGGCCAAAAATAAAACGGGGGCACCTTCGCCAGGCGTTTTCCCACCAACCCCCTACTCACTTTACCACAGCACCAGAGCAACCCAACCAATTAAGTATTCCCCRAAATGAGAGCAGCAAGGCATCGCCCCCAAACCCACCAGATCCCCATGCACATTACCATAATCCAGTCTAATCATATTAACATGGGGCCACCGATGGCTGCTCTCACTCTGCTGGGTTTGTTCTGCTTCTTATGGTGGCCCAGGCTTCTCCCCGTGTGAAAGAACACTGTGTATTTCTGGACTTACACTGAGTCAAGTATACTTTAAATATGGTCGTAATACTTCCTCACAAAGTACACGTCGTTTCATGTAATGTGCTCTGTTTGCATGTCAACACACTAAGCACACGTGTCAACACTGAGCATTGCAAGGAAATACTGTATTGTGCTGGTAATTTTCTAGTGGAAACACCAGTTGGCATTAAGTTACAAAAACAGAAATCAGACATTCATGTTGATTCAGCTTTTTTGGATTTGTTATTTGCTTCCCGTAAGAGTTTGGACCAGTTATCTTTGCTCGTCTGCAGCCCGTAACAACGCAGTCACTCATCTTTACCTGAAGAAAACATCAAAAGTCATTTAGAAACAAGAATATCTGATGGAAACAAGGTATTGCTTAAGCTGTATGGTGTTTGTTGTTGTATCAAAAACAATGCTTTCATATTGGCTTCATTTTCAAACATATAAGCTAAGAACATTTATTTATGAATGTTTAAAACAAACATTCATGATGAAATATGATGAAGCAAAACATTTACATTCTTCGATTCAGTGTGAAGAGATGAAAAAATGTCTTGAATGACATCAAATAAATTTGTCATTGAAGCTAAATTTTGTTTGCTTATATACATTTATATACTGTATATATTCATGTTATATATATTTATGTGTATATATATACTCATGTTATATATATATATATATATATACTGTATATATTCATTTAAGAGATAAAAATGTGTTACCAGTAAAAGGAAAATGTAAATTATGTTCTAAAATATATAATTTATTGGAACTAAGCTGGAAAAATAAATATGAAGGTCAATTAATTTATAAAACATGAGGTAAAGTTCTCATTTTTCTATTTAATTTGTACTTTTTAAGTGTATYTATTTATTGGTTCATTTATATATTTCTGCTTTTATTTCTAATTACGTCCATTTCGGTCCTCTGTATATAACCAGGTTTGTTTGTTTGGTTTTTGCTCAAGGCTGTCTTACTGTAAAACAGTGTTTCCCAACCCTGGTGCTCAAGCCACAATGCCTTCATGTTTTAGAGGTTTCCCTGATTTAAGACACCTGATTCAGATGACTACAGTTCATCAACAGCCTGTTAATCAGTTATCAACTGAAATCAGCTGTGTTGAAGCAGGGAAGTTTATGAAACTCTGAACACAAATGTCTCACATCAGAGTCCCTCCAGTTATTTAGTGCCATGATGAGAACTGAGTAAAAAGGTGATAAATGAACAGAAAGGGTTTCCTGTGATCATTCCTCGAGCATTAATCACTGAACACTGGATGAAATGGGTTCATTGAGTTACTAACCACATCCACACCGACCTCTTCCTGTCCCAGGTTACGGGATCATGACGGACGGCTACACGACGTTCATCAACGCGTCGACCTGCACCGTCAGTTTCCAGCCCACCAACCCCCCCATCGTGTTCGACCTGCCCAACCCCTCCAGCTCCTGAGACCACAACACCGGGGTCGGGGTCGCCAACGGATAAACTACGTATTTTCTATAAATATTTCAAGTTATAAAAAAACGGAAGAAAAAAAAGATAAGTGTTTCTTTGCAAATTTTTTGCTCTTCTCCAGTCTGTTGTTGAGATGGAGAAGTTGTACGGCGGGGGGTGGGCGGGACGGGCAGGTTGTCGGGGAGCTTGAAAGGAGAGTATTGGTGTTTTCTTGTTTTGTTTTCTAAAGCGTGCCAACAGTTCAGGTCACCTGCTCAGATCCTCTCTCAGCCAGCAGAGGCTGGAGAAACCAGGAGCCRCTCAGTGTGAAACAACGTGGAGAAGGTGAGGTAATCCACGAAGAAACCTGCTTTCATCCACGTTTCGCTGAGCGACGGTAAACGTTTTAATGTCAGCGGCTCTTCATCTCACACTCCTGTCAGCTGCAGGACGAGCTAATCCTTTAAAAAAACACAATGCCTTAGTGCAAAACGCCAGACAAAAGCATCTGAAACTTGTTGACCACTTCCTGTCACTGACTCACACCAGTATTCTCCTTCTCTCTGAGATTTTGTGGTTAAACAATCTTGCTCTTGATAAATATTGGTCAGAACTGTAAAATAATTGAAGCTTTGTGAATTTGTACAATTGCTTTACGTTTGGTTTGGCCAGACAATGGACGATATGTTATGTTTTATTTTCTGATTTCTCGTCAGTTCTTTAATTTTTTATTTTTGTTGTTCTTTTTGGCTGACAGGGACGCTGCCTTAAACTAGCTTTAATGTTCTCAGCTAGAGCCCCTCTCTCTGCAAGCTCAGAGGAAAGTCCTTATTTATTACCCRTCATCCCCGCAGAAACAACACCTGACCAACGCAGGGACAGAAAGCTTTCAGTTACAGCCAGATTTGACTCTTTCTATCACCCCCTTCTGGAACTCTCATCTAATTTGGAAATGTGTATAAAAATATATAAATTATATATTCATCTTATGAAACACCTGTACTAAAAGTTATTTGACAAAAGAAAAAAAGGTGGATTTTTTTTCTTGTATCTTCAATGCTCTCATCAAAAGTTTTTTTTTTTTTTTGTAACATTTCTTAAATGTAGAAATTTATTTTGAAGGAGAGGAAAGTTTGTCGATCACAATCCAACAGGTGTTGATTGTTGCCAACACACCTGCCTAAACATGGTTAAGATGTCCTTTAAAGTGTAAATCTGATAGTATTTGTGTTTTATTGCTTTTTTTTTCTAATTTTGCACTGTGTGTAAATGCAATCTTGCTAGCACAAAAAAAAGTTGCCAATAGTTGTCTCAACTCGTCTTCAAACAGCTGTAAATGCTCTTTTTGTGCTCTGTTCCTCTCTCGCTCTTTTTCTCTGATTGTATCCCTCTTCATGGAAATGTTAGTTCTCTCTTTCAGTTTATTGTGATATATTTAGCTGCCTTTATATGCAAATAAAATTGCAAGATTTTTACATATTAAACTGTTTTTTTTATTTGGAACTCCTGAGTATCAGGTTCTCAGAACATCAGATCCCAGTAGAACATGCTGGGATTCAGGAGGTGTCCAGCTCAAACCACCTCCACTGACTCCTGATGTGAACCACTTTCAGGTCAACTCAGCCAGTGATGATGGTACGGTGATTACAGTATTCTTCACTTACAAAAAGTAACAAAAAACATCTTTATATTTAAGAGAAGTGGCATAATACAAAGGTTTTTACCCATTTTGTCACATAAGACCTGCGTCACACGGCAGGATAGTTGTGCCGAATTTGCCCTTTTGACAATCTTAAGGAAGTCCAGATTATTGTGATGACTCTGAAGATAATCTGAGCAGATATTCCTGCCATGGATGGTGAATAAAGACTCCCACACTGTGCAGTCTGAGTCGTGCAGACTCTACATGTCGTCCATAGATGTTTGACACTTCATACTACCTCAGCTGTTTCCTTCTGATGCAGATGAGCAGTTCCTCTGCTAGAAGATCCCTGGATGATGAAGCTCTTCAGCTTCTACCCCAGGCTGAGCTCAGTGTTCCTCCAGAGGAAGCTCACTTTAGCCGCTTGTCTCCAGGATGTCGTTATTTTAGCTCAGGGTCTTACGACCTCAGGAGCATGAGCGCACTTTCAAACACTGCTTTGGGGGAGGGGTGTGCTGTGAGGCTAGAGCTCGGCTGCAGACGGAGCTCTAGGGAGGAGCTTTGTAAAAATAGGCGGAGCTTTGTACCATCAAGTGTTTAAGCAGCTCCACATGCCTACCACAGGAAATTCAAGGATTTCTCAAACATGCATGAATGAGTCAAAGCAACACTCTGGGTAAGTTTTTGATGAGGGAATGGCATAACAAGATCAAAAAGGTCAATTTTACATAATACCCCACCACCCCCATCCTTTAAAAAAACAGACTTGTGAAGTGATTGTAAAGAAAGAGAACAATCAGCTTCAAGTAACGTTTATTCTTTTTCATCTTGAGGAGGATGTCAGGTTAATCTGTTCTGAAAGGCTTTAATTCCCCAGCTGGTTCCTCCACTTGGCCTGAGCCCTCTGTTTTGTGCCACGCAGGAAAGGGATCTTGTTTCTTTTGACATGGCGGAGGTGCTCTAACCCTCCTAATGCGATGTGTTGTGTCGCTGCAGGCAGAGCCGAGCAGAGACTTTAACCTGCAGCAACCAGATACAGTCAGAGCTGGAAACCTGAAGCCCTGATTTAAATCGTGTCAGATTGCGATGAGATGCAATGTTTTGTCTCTAAACTCGGCTCGGTCACTTAGCATCTGCTGCTCGTCTCCACAGCAGTTATAAAATGAACAGTTTCTGCACTGCAGCGCAAGAAAGTAAATTATATATTTTGAACAAACTGATGTAGCTCAAACATGAATATAATTCTCTAGCAATAATCATTAAAACCACTCAGATTCAAGTTTTTCCAAAACTTTATTTTTGAAGTTCAAAGTTAAAGTCAAAATGCTGAGAATTAAGTCGAAATGTAATTTCTATTAGAATGTTTGTCTCTGGGTGNAAGCACACCTTCAAACTCAGGTCCTCTGAGCTGCTCGAGGTTCTCTGGACAGAGATCTCTGAGGTTGTTCCTGGGATCTGTTGGAGCCATGTTTCCAGTTTGGGAAAGCACTGAGTGCTTTGATGATCACTGAGACTACTGACACTTTGATTCTCCTTTATTTCCTTTTCCAACCCTTGGTATTGCTCAAGCTTCTTGTCTTTCTGATGTCACAGTCACTGATGTTGCTACACCTATAACCACTGCCTTCTTCTCTTGCTTGTTGACCACCACAATGTTCGGTTGGCTAAAGAGGGCTGGACTAAAGGACAGCACAGAGGCACTAATCATGGCAGCACAAGAACAATAGAGGTCAGGGTCTACCATACTAGACATGACCCAGGATACCCCAGAGACAGTTCAACACATAATAGCAGAAAGTAAGATCCAGACAGGCAGAGCACACATGGAACGTTATAATCAAGTGGCTGGAAAAATACACAGGAACATCGGTACTGAGTAACACATGGACTGATGTTTCCAGAGTCAAAGTGAGAGACATCACTAAGAGTGGTGGAGAATGGAAGAGCTATGAAACTGTGGGACTTCCAGATCCAGACTGACCAACAGGTGTGACTAACCACTGGTAGGATTTGCTGGTATAAGCCACTTCCTCAACCTGGTCTTGTTGCTGCTGTGGTCGATGACTCCTCGAGTCACTGAGCCATCGTGTGGCACTGTAATGTCTGCTTCTTGGTTTTATCTCTATCTTGTCAYGCTTTAGCAGTGGCAGTCCCTCACATAGTTGTCTGACATTTCTTTTATTTATGGTGACAAATYTGATAAAAGTATGAGACACCTGGAATGATTCTGGCTGTTTTGAGACAYAAGAGTGAGGCCCTGCAAATCCACGGACATCAGGTATCTTCRTGAACATTGCAAAATATCTTGGAAGCTTCTTCACAAATTTTCATTTGCAGTGAGATCCTGGCCTAAAAGGGGTTACAGAATACATGTAGCCTATACTTAACACACACTTAACAAAGACCCAGTTTTTCTTTCAGTTTATTGTGTGCAGATCCCTCAAAAAAAGCTCATTATTATTATTACTTTTCTTTATTCTTAGAATTTCTTTAATTTCAGGTGCCAAAAGAAACAGAAATTRGTTTTGTTTAACCTAGAAAAGCCCAGTTTCCTGTCAACTTGTTAAATCATTTTAATCACTTTTAGTATGACTTTCTGTGTAAAACTCCAGTACTTTTTACTACTCTCTGTCTGGCTTTTTTCAGACTTCTGAATTAACCACCAAGCCCTCAAACTTTTTGAAAGTAATGTGTTTGATTAGACTGAACCACAACATTTGGATTGCTTTTCAGCAAACTGTTCTCATAATCCTCAGTTAATGAGCTCATTGAGCTAAGACCTCGAGATAAACTTTAAACATTTGGAGTTTTCCTTTTCAGTTTTTGCTGCTTAGTTCTTTGTAATTAAAGTGAATCAAATTCAACTTTGTGATGCTGAATTCTGAAATCAAAGCACTGCCATCAACGGGAAGAATATCATTTTTAATATAATTATTATTAGAGTTTCCATTAAACAGATATGTTAAATCGAGATGCAGTGTCTTGAATTCCAGCAAATGCTTTACAAACCCCGAAGTGAAAAACATTAGGAGGGTAATTTGTGGAAGAACGAGATGATTCAAGGAGAAAAAAAAAATGCAGCTTCCTGGATAATTGAATGATACTACAGGGTAATGTTAAATATAATGGTGCTCATTAGCTTTAGCAAGTGTTGCCATGGAGAAGAGGCCAGTCAGAGGTGTGAATGAACGGGCATTAATTACTGAGCTGCAGCTTGGAATGGAGTTTTATGGTCACTGACTTTTGTGCATGACTTCAGACCAAAGAGTGTGATCATTTCTCGCACAGTTTCAAATTTAGCGTCAGCGTGTTTGCTTTTGAAAAGCTCCTTATTAGCATTAGCCCTCCACGCAGCATCAGTGCTCTCTGTCTTTGTGTGTTTCTGCCAGTCAGCACCTCGTGGATCGGTGCTGGGACGTTAACGGCTCTGCCAAATTGCTGGCTGTATTAATTATCCTTGTCCGGGCAGCTGCTGGTGATGTTGGGTGTTTGACAGGTTAACCCTCGTCTCCTGCTGATGGATACGGAGCAAGACTCGGCGAGGGATGACACACTTTTGTGTGCGGCTCCTCCTGGTGCCAGTGCTCTGTATGCAGTGTTTATATGGAATTAATTGCTCGCCAGTGGTATTATTGTAATCTGGAGCTCATCTGGTGAGAGTGGAGCTGCTATGAAATTATTCTCATTCAGAGTCATAATTTCCATGTGCTCATCTCCCGCTTGTAGCCCCACTTCTTCATCGTTTAGATTAAATATTTGAGTAAACCTGTTTATAATATGTGGGGTTTTCTATTTTTATTTTTTAAATGTGWATGTATTTGGCAGAAAGGTAAAATGTCTATATGTTTCAACCCTATGCAAATCAAGAGTCCGTCTTTATTCAAATGTAAAACTTGATTAAAGTGGATCTAAAGTTCAGCAGCTAATTATTTTCCAAGTTAATTATTTCTCCCTGCAGACTGGATTGATGAGGCCATTTCTCCCTGCATTCAGAGCTTTGAAAGAATCTCTCCGAGCTGATTGAACTGAGGGAGAGTTGACCCCTCGACCCCCCGTAACAATACATGATTATCACAAGTGGCTGTGCTGAATGACTGGAGATGATTAGTACCTCTGCTGTTTCTTTACATCACCTCAGAGACAAAAGCTACATTTGTCTAATGGTATATAATTTACCTCCTTCCTGGTTTTCGCTCCTCTCCGTCTGTCTGGTTTKGGCTTTCCATGCTGACGTTTCCTAAGCACCTTATTGATTAATTGTGTGGACTGTAGAAAATTACTGTAATTACWGTTATTAGACCCTGTTGTCACATTATTTGCTAATCAAGAACACAGTAAACGGACAATCAATATCCTTCACAGAGTCCTCAAGGTAAAAGTTAGAACTTTTCTTGAGTAGAAACAACAACAAAAGGGGTGCAAGAAATACAAGAAATTCACGGTTCGGTTCGATACTTTAGTATCACGTTTCGTTATTTTTTTCGATATAAAAAAAGAGAAATTTCCATGCCCCTTTTAACTTGTCATTTATTTACAT